ACCCACCCACCCACATCCTAGCTCAGATCCAGATCCCAGGAGCTCGTCTATATTCTCAGCTTAAAAACAATAGAATATAAGCAGCAGCCTGAACATTGTCTTCAGAAGCATAGTTGTTTCTGTGGCTTTCATGAAGGACCATTCCCATCCCTTGCCTCTGGAACCCTTGCCAGAAAGGAGCGCTCCAGGCATTTTGCAGTCATTTTTGGAAGCTGAAGGAGTTGGTGGAACAGCTACTCCAGCTCTCTGTGTGGTCCCACACCAGAGTTCATCCAAATGGTGATGATTCAGTTAATCATTACACAACTCTATCTTTGCTAGGAGCCTGCTGATAGAAAGCACTGTATGTGTCCCCGCGTGGTGGGGGGGTGCCCGCTGTGATCCTTAAACAAGAATGGAAGGAAATAAAGGAAAAACAATAGGATCACTAAAGGTGATTTATTTCTGTTGTGTGCATGCCTGGTTTTTAAATCTAGCTATATACACATATATTAAAAAATCATGGCATTATATTTTGCAATTTCACATAGAGAAAATTCTTGGAATTCAATCTCTAGCATTGTCAATTGCTGTTTTCAGTCACACAACCTCTCACCAGATGCTTCACTGAGGTTTTTTCAGACCTACCAAGCTCTGGTGTAGCACCAAGCATGGGCAGAGCACTCCCCAGCCTCCTGCACCGTAACAAGCCCCACTTGTCTCACCTTTGGTCAGGTATCAGAAATGACCCAGCCTACCCTCCTGCTTGACCTTGTTTATAGTCTTTTCTGGCAAGTGTTTATTTTCAGTTGGGCAGTGGCAGAAAAGGGTTTTTGGTTGTGGTGTTAATTTTTTTAGTTAGAGTGCTAGGCTGATTTGGAGAAATGTTCTCTTCCTCACCTGGCCCTGCTCCAGCCGCCTGTCTCATGAATAGATGATCTATGGAGACAAATGTCTTACCGGATTTTCTTTGCATCCAAGTTCTCCCTTTTCAAAACTCATCTATTTTCTGGATTGTTTGATTGAAAACTTATTTTCAGTAGGGTTATTTGGTATTTGAAGTTTTTCATTAGTGGGAATGAATCATGCCAGAGTACTCACAGAAACGCCAGTCCGCCAGGAGATCGCAGATAAAATGCCTCACGCTCCCGTTGCATTTAAAATGGTGATGAACAAAATTAGTTAGAGGCCACACAGAATATTAAATAAAGATACGCAGTGTTCTAACAGTTGTGGGTCGTTTGTAAATACAAGGTAGCAGGAAGTTTGTAGAGATAACCCTCCTGTCCATATGTAGTTTTGTGTGTCAGCTGCTTGTCTGTGTCCACAGAACGCATCCCTGTGTCTGCGTCGGTGTTTCTGTTGAGTTTGCTCACAGCTATTCTTTGCCTACAGTAGTGAGTGGAGTCTGGCACTGCTCTTAATGGTTTTTACACTTTATGTCTTTGAATTTGTTTTTAAATTTCCACTCACACCTTTCAAGAAGGAACAAAAATTGTTCTAGAAACCCAACATGATCAAAAAAAAAGGTCAGTTGGATACAGGTAAAGGATGTTTTTTCAAAGAGATGGTAAGTAAAGTTTTTTGACAATACCTACATGACCAAGAAGGTTCAATTCCACTTTCAAAACTGACATGATTTTTGGGGCATTTTTCCAACTGAGTGCCAGTGGGAAGGCATTGAGGTATTTCAGAAGTGATCCAGAACCCTCAGCTGTCTCTTCTGTAATGGAAATACTCTTTATTATTTTGGTTGCAGATTGCAGAGATGTTGCAAGTGAAGATGCATTTCCTTCATAAGTTAGCATTGTTCTGACATGTTTTGTTTGCATTTTTTTTTAAAGGCTGGGATGCCATCATGGATTGGAAAGATGTCTTATCAGGAGGGGAAAAACAAAGGATGGGCATGGCTCGGATGTTTTACCATAAGTAAGCATTTTGATTTGTTCTTTTAAATAGCATCTGAAAATGAGGAAGAGTTTTGGAGGCTTGTTGTAATAGTCTGAGCAGTGGTAGACTATGATCTCCATGAAATATGCAATACTGCTAGATGGTTGCATAGGACCATGGACCTTTATTCATACAAGCTCTGCTTTTAGTTTGGGTAATGTTTCTTATTTAGAGCATTACGTTTTCCAGATATTCCTTTCTTTTTACATCTTGGGCACAAACATCTTCCCTGCATCTGTCCTACAAATATTGCAGAAGTCTGGTGGACTGTTGCAGAGGGTATGAGAGTATAAAAGCCAAGCTCCGAAACTTTCTGGGTTTGGAGACTGCAGGCACTGCATGCAGAGCAGTGAACAGAAAGTTTCTGAGTTGGCTGTGGCTACTGCATAACTTGATGACAGGATAAAGCTAGGTCAAGCTAGAACATTAGTTAGATCACTGTGTACTCAGATGGACCAGGAAATAAAACCCATTTTTCCTGGAAGCCAGGTCTGCACCTGAATAATGCTTGGAAACTTTATGTTGTTGCTAGCCAGCTCCCAGCTGTAGATGAGGGACAGCTGTCTTGCAAAAATTGCACTCTCCTTTCTGTTGTTCTTTCAATTAAACACTGTATGTGAAAATACTGTCCAAAACGTAGAAGAGTAATGTTCTTTATCTGCTTTTAAAAGGCCAAAATATGCATTGCTGGACGAATGCACAAGTGCTGTAAGCATTGATGTTGAAGGAAAGATATTCCAAGCTGCAAAAGCTGCTGGGATATCCCTACTTTCTATAACACACAGACCTTCTCTTTGGTAAGTACATTCAGGGATTGATAACGGTCCTTGCTTTTAGCTTTCTGTCAGGCCATGGATTGGCTTTTATTCTTTGTACTAGGGCAGTTATTTAATCAATATCTACTGCATTTTCTAAAGTAACTTGTCTACAATAACAGTGATGTAATGCATTTGGCATTGACTTTTTTCATTCTTTGACACGTATTTATTCCTCCCTCTTATGTTTTTTGAAATGTATTTCGCTTATTAGCTATTAATAGCAACATGCAGGTATCTAAGAGGCAATTAATTAGCCCACCACACCACAGCCACAACAGATATTACCAGATTATTCTGTAAAGGTGACAAGATACATGAGGTGTCCTGGGGAACTTTGCCAGTGCTTGGGAGATGGGAGACATGGCAAGTGGTTAAACTACTCGTTGTTCTTCCATAGGAAAAGTACATCTGTTGTTTTGACTTCAGTTGTGTCCTCTATCTGCAGGGTTCATGATCTTTCAAAATTTGATTGTCTATTAAAAAAAGAAATATTAGAATTCTGAGAAACATCATTCTAATGAGGAATTACTAAGTATGGATGAGTCCCTCAAAGGAAATAAATGTAGTTGCTGAATACATAAAACAATGAAATACTTTAAAGGGCAAAAGGAGATCAAGGTCTAAGCTGATATTAGCAATGACTGTTTGTTCTGAACTCCTTGATCTCTACTGTCAGATTGTTTGCTTTTTTTAAACTGATGACAAAAAATCCATTAAGAGTCTATTGTCTCAAATGAAAGAAATTTTACCAGTGTCTGCTTCTCTGAAAAAGAATGTTTTTCTCAGCATTCCTCCTTCCTCTGTGGAGATGGTGACAGTGGAAATAACTTTTATTGGATCGGGACCTAAATATTACAAAAAAATGAGTATTCTGATAGGAAAAAAAGTCACATAGACATTTGTTTTTAAAATAATTCAAATTACACTTAAAAAGAAAAGCATTATTTAAATTTTTTAAAGTTTGGCATTATTTTAAAACCACTGCTCAAGAAAACAGGTATTTGAGGGCATCTCACCTATAAATAATTACAATGCAGAGGGAAGTTCTGCAAAAGAACTTGTGAGAAAGATCTTTTGAGTTCAGATTCCTACCAACATTTCCTGTTTCCTAGTACTAGTGCTATTCAGGAAAGTTTGGGATTGCTCTTGTAGCCTCCACAGTATTGCTGAAATTATCAGAAATCTGGTGATTTTGGGGGTTCTGGACAAGTAAACGTAAGTGCTGAGTGGAAATAAGCATCAAATGCCTTTAACTTAAATAAGCTTCTGCAGGGACTGCATTGCATAGACAAAAACCAGGTTCACATGCTGTTTTCTCCTTCTCAAGATTATGCCAGGGAATATTTGCTCTTTTAATCAAAATATTAGTTACTTTCCTAGACCATAAACATTGGACATCTCAGTCAGCTATCTTAGCTTCCTGATTTTTTTGGGGGGTTTTGGTGGGGGGAAAATAGAGGGATAGATTAAGTGTTTGGTGTCACAAAGAATAATAGCAAGAAGTGGTGAATGTAAGCCTGGAGCTGAATCTCTTTTGAGTCCCATGTCATAAGCTATTGAGTTGATTAAACTGTCACATTCCCTGGATGGGATTTATAATCACTGTTTTATGATGTATCTCATCTTCTATAATTTATAATGATAAATTACAGAGTCATACCAGCAGCTCTGAGGGAACTCTCTGGCTCTTCCTCTTGCACCTCCTGATAAATGTCTTGTCAGGTCTTGACAAACTCTGCATGTACACCTTTGAATATTTTTGGTGCACACACCCTCAAACTCACTGAAAGATCTGTGACTCCTACACAAACTTTTTAATTTTGACCCCTAGCAAACTGAACCATGTTTTAGGACTGGAGGTTTCTTTAGCCAGCCTTCTTAGATGGAGGGGAACAAACTGAGGTGTAATTTGAACAAACTAGGGTTCTATCAGTAGCATCAAGTGCACCATGCCTGCCTGAATGCATTTTTCTGCTAAGGAGGTAAAAAGTCTCTCAGAAAGCAAGGTAAATAAAATAAACTGGGACTAGCGTTCCTGGGGGAGAAGGGAGCCACATCTCCTGCTGCTTTTCAAGCTCCTAGAGAAAGAGGAACCTGGTGGAGTTGAAGTGAAGGCAACTGCAGCCACAGACAATGTTTCAAAGAGGGAGGCCTCCACCTTGGCCAGAGACAGCAGATGATGAGGGGACCCTCCACAGCCATTCCCACTCCTGCCAGCATCAATACTGGTGAGGGGTGCTCAAGGAGGGGTGAGGAGCAGCCCACACTGGTGCTAATAGCTTACACCTGGCATCTCGCTGCTGAATTTCACTGGATGGCCTAGGGAGGTCCGGGTGAAATACCAAAATCCTTTCAAGTCCTTTGAAATACCCAAACCCCTTACAAAAGAGTGTCCTGGGATTATGAGTCACTGAAGAAAAAGTCTTACCCAGTGATCCAAAACTGGACAACTCCCAGCATCCTGATAGGCACCATTGAAAAGAGACACAGATGTCCAAATTTGCGTGCAAAAATGAACCAACCATCTTTTCCCTGAGCCATTACTGATGTTTTACTTTCTACTGCAGGAAGTACCACAGTCACTTGCTGCAGTTTGACGGACAAGGTGGCTGGCGTTTCGAGCAGTTGGACACCGCTATCCGTTTATCACTGAGTGAGGAAAAACAGAGACTGGAATCCCAACTTGCAGGAATTCCTAAAATGCAACAGAGACTGAATGAACTGTGTAAAATCTTGGGAGAAGACTCAGTGCTTAAAACAATGGACAAAGAGGAATAAATAATTTATGTTTTACGTTTTTAAAAGTATTTTTTTAGTTAAAAGCATTACAAATTCAGCCATTATCCTTTGCATGCATCGTGATAGAGGCTTAGAGCATAGAGAAGCACAGCCAGCAGAAAATAATGCTCTGAATGCTATGTAAGACTTTAGCGTTTTAGTATTAAGGAAGAAAGTGGTTGAACTGTGAAAAGAAAATAAGCAAGTGCACAGAGTATAAGATTAGCCATTGCAGCTTACGTTAATTCCTAGTGAAAGCCCGATTCACTGCAAAAAAAAACTACCGACGCGCTTAGGTTTTGTAGGTGAATTTTTGCCTGAGACTTGTCCTGCAGAATGTGCTCTGGTACCGGGTGACTGTGTGCGTATGATATGCCTGCTGCCCAGAGCCAACCTGGCCTGACACTCAGGCATGGAGCACGGCAGAGGCAGCATCTGGGTGAGTATGCAGATGCACGCAAGAAATCTCACGTGGGTATGAGAAGCCTTCTTCCAGCCCATGTAAAACCAAACTCCTGTTCTACTACTGAATCGCCTACGCACCGTTACCTGCATTTCCATAGGAAATAATGTAATAGGCTGACCAGAAGACAACTTTCTGAGCCACCCACTGCCCTGGCGACAGAGAAGCAGGGATAGAGCTAAATGTGTAATATACTTGTGCTATGCTTTATGCCATTATGCATAGCTCCAGAGGCTCTTTGCCCTTCATGATACATCAGTTCCTTTGGGAGATTATTTATGTCCCCTACTCAGTAACCTCTGATGGGGGGGCGGAGCAGTGGGCATGGCCTCCAGTGATTTAGCATTCGCTTGACTAAGTCTTTCATCAGCTCCATAGGTCTGATCCGGCCAGTGTCCTTCTCTGACCCAGTTCCTCCACTGGTAAAATCACAATATAGACACTTGTTCGTTCCACGAGACACTTGGCGACAGGAAGGACTGTAGGAGAGGAGAATGTCAGTTTCTGACAGTACACTGAATTCTCAGGCATGGCTGTCCTGCTAGTTAAAATGCTCGGCACTTACAAAGGTCTGTGAAAAGTTATGAGCATTTTGTAACCACTAATTAATATGCCTGCCATATTTTGGTAGAGTGGCTGAGCACTGCCCTCCCTGTGAGCAGACACACCGGTTAACGGCTTTGCTTTCAGATGCACTCGGTGACTGTCCCACCTGCTTTTCAGGTCAGTAGGAACCTGGTCCCCAGTCAGCCAGAAGGTGCTTTAAACAGAAACCCCTAGGACGGTGCTGGCCTGAGTGCCTTGCCAGAGGCAAAACCCAGTGAATTAGAAATAAAGATGGGAATGGATTTTAGAGCTCCTGATCTCCTCTCTCTGACTGCAAGTGCAGGGAAAATGGGCAGCCTGGGAGTGAGGACCAGGAGGGGTGAGAGGCTTTGCAGATGGTCAGTGAGCCTTAGCCGAGATGTAGCAATCCTGAAGTCTGATGGTTCCTTTTTTTCCTAGAAGAAGTGTGATTCCTTAGAAGATTTCTGTCTTGAGAGGCAATGCATAAGCTGTTAAGAACTGTGAAGAGAGGAGAAATATTTGGGGGGTATTTGCTGAGCTGGGAATGTTTGAGCACCCTGAAGTTAATATAAACCGTTTCCATTTTCTGATCACTTTGAGAACAAGGGGAACGAGAATTAACTGTCTGCCAAATCCCCGTCCAGTGCACTAACCATTAGCCCATCTTCCTTCTCACTGGGTGCTCGTCTTGCTGCTTAATTTGGGCACTTGTACCAGAAAACGGAATGAGTCTGCTCCCTGTCCTCCTCCTCCAGAGTCTGTGGCTTGAATGTAACCCCATAACTTGTCCTGGTGACAACAGTTTGTTCCTGTCATGAGTTTTCTCTGTAGGGTTCCCTGGGATATTTCACTGACACAGAAAAGAATGCTCTTTGAAAGGGAAACTTTGAAAGGGATGAGAAATTAAGGTTCAAGATAATACGATGTTGTGTAGTGGAGTGCAGACTGGGGGTCGCTGCTGTGGAGGATGACATGTGCATGCATTTTAATTTGCAAGTGCCTCTGCTTGTCCCTCTCCCTGAAGGCGAGCTTTCCTCCTTCTCATCTTCAAAGGAAAATTCAGAATGGCTTAGGAAAAGAAGAAGTCAGCCAAGAATCTGTTCTCAATGAGCATAAATGAGATGACTGATGATTTTAAAGCCTTGCACATTTCTGAGTTATGTTTCTGTAAGATGGTGATGAATCAGGCACCGTGTCCTGTATGCATGCCCTTGTCCCAGCTGCAGCAGATCCTTCTCCTAGTGCAAAGCAGCCACAAAACCACCTTTCCTGAGGCAGGAGCTGAGGTGGAGGAAGGGGCATTAGTGTTCCCCACCCCTCCGTTAAGCACTTTACCATGTGGCTGGGGCTAAACCAGGGTTCTCCAGTCCCCAAATGAGGAGGACACTGAGAAGTGCTGAACGATTGGCCCAATTTGGCACAGCCCCAGGGATGGCCCTGCACCCTCCCAGCCTCCCACCAGAGCTCTGCCCTGGTGCTTGGCTTGTTGGGAGCTGCTATGGGCAAGTACAGTGCCTGAAATTGCTGATTTCAGGGGTCCAATCTGGGCATCCTTCACGGCACAGCAGTAACACGTCTTCTGAGGAAACCGTGTTTAGAAGTAGAAAGTTTGTTTGCTGGGTTTTTTTTTTTTTTTAATGAGATTATGCATAAAACATACAAAAGCTATGTAAATTACTGATGAAATTTTAATGAAAACTGAAATCACACCAGGATTAATGTAATAATATTTTCCTTGAAGTCTGATACGTATTTCTTGGATCCAGTAATAGACTTAACCATTCCCATTCAGTACTATAGCCTAAAATACCCTAACATCTCGCCCAGCTGTTTACATTTTTGTAGGCATGACAAGAACATTAGAGGCTGGTACGAGAAGAAACCCTTCTCTGAATGGGAACTTTCTGAGTAATGCTGAGCCAGTTTTAGAAGGATTTTGTGTACTGGTGGCTCATTAATTTTAAAGTTCATTTTGTGGCTGGAAAAGGAGCTGCCTTGGAGATTTTCTCTGCAAACTTTCTGAGTTGTTCCAAGGGCTGATTGAGATGGGAGTCTCCGGTTCTGTTTCTGGAGAGTTTTACCTCTGCTGTAATACAAGGTATAAGGCAGCTCGTTTTGTGCTGCTTCGGGTGCAGCTGGGAAAGGCAGAGCAGAGGTGCCTGCTGCCTGCTCAGGGAGATGCTGTTCTGGAGCCGAGGTGTGGTGAGCACTTTGCCCTTGCAGAGTGAGAGAGTCAGAGCAGGGCAGGATGTCGTGGTGGAGTCCTTTTTAGTGGTGCAGTGAGAGCTGCTCTGGATGTTCGTTCCCTTTCTGGCGTTCAGGAGCTCTGACTCCCTGGGAGGTGAGAAAGTGGCTTTTTGGCCTTCCTTCTGCCGGTCCTATCTGGCTGGAGCTGGCCAGGTCCAGCTCGTTGTGTCACAGCATCTGTGCACTCGGGGCTGGACACTGCAAAGCCTCCTGTGAGCACCCTCTCATCCTCCAGGACTCAGGGCAGACTGGACTTGCCTGGGGCTGCATCCTGGAGCAGTACAGATGCTGAGCAAAACTCATACCAGTCTCAGGCGTGGAGTAACTGTACAATAAAAATATGAAGTACCCACATTCGTTCAGATAACGTTGGGATTTTTTGCAAGAATCTTCAGAATGGGAGGAAACATTTGTTGTGCGTGGGATTTCAGCATTTTAACCTAGGAGGAGTTCGTTTCTTACTTAGTTTTGGGACCAGACTCATTCCTGTTTTAAACTTGGAAGCCCTCTTTCTGCAGGGGTAGAAACCCCCACTTATCTTGTAAAGGAGTTTTTTGAAACTAGTGGAATTTGTATCTGAGTGAGGAATGAAGGATTGGGTATTCAATGGGATATCTTAGGGAAAATTGCAATAAAAATTATGTCCTAAAGCAAATGAACACATCTACAATCCCCTCAGTATGTCTGAGTGATGATAGTGCATGTCAAAGGCAAGTTTACGAGCCTGTGATCAGAGATTTCAATCGTATTTAGAATGAAATCGCTCTACTGAGCTGTTCATGAAGCTTGAGAGAACTGAACTGCTAATTGAATGTGTCTTTGTTTTGTTTATGTTTGATATTAATGCCTTTTAAGAGCAGACAATTTATAAAGCAATAAATTATGCTTTACAGTTGTAATTTATTCCAACCTCAAATAAAACATGTTGCATTTACTTTGAGTTTACAGTGTTCCTTATGAATCACTCACAAAGCAGTCGGGACCTGCCAGCATGTGCTCTGGGACCCCCTTCCCATCCCTGGTTTCTGTGCTGGGGGAGGAAAGTTTGGGGTGGATGTTGGGTTTTTGTGAGTTAAAACAAGCGTGTCGTCCCTGGATCGGGCTGGTGTCAAAGGCTTCTCACGTCTCGCACCTGTCCTCTTCAGCATGGACCCAAGTCATGGCAGGAAGGTGAGAAGAGCTGCCACCACTTGCTGGGGAGGTCTGCAGCGGGGCTGGGCACCGAGCTCCATGCCAGAGGACATTGTCAGGAGCACCAGATCAGGTGGCCTCGGCAGCATCACTCCCAAAGGTGGTTGTTACAGTCTGTGTAAGGTAAAGTTGTGCGTAAAGCATCAATGTCACAAATATTACAAGCAAGTGCCCGTGTTGGCCTGGGAAAGGAGGAGGTTATTTTCTTAGGGATTAAGGTAAGAAAACCAGTCTCCTTAGCTCTTCAGACTGAGGACATCGTCTGATTACTTCGCACCCAGAGCTGCCTTGTGTCTAGCACCTTCCCTGCTGTGTGGCAGGGGACAGTGAGGTACTCTGTGGTGGTACAGGACCTGGATGATGCAGTTGAGGAGCCCATGGCAGTGGTTGTCACTTGAGAACTAGGTCCTTACGGGATCTTGTGAAGGCCTGTCCACTGTGCCTTCCTTCCAGCTACTGCACCCACTCTGGTGGAGAGCACCAACAGAGCTATGAGCTGTGAGAAATGCATTCTGGGGGGTCGCTGGGTGGCTGTAAGACCACGCTGATGTTCATGCATTTGACCAAGAGGAGACAGGCTGTATTGTAGTGGGGGAGGTGAGCTGAGAGGTTGCACTTGAGTATCACCTTTTTTTGGTAAAACATGCTTTGGTGTCTGCTCTTTGGAGAACGTTCCTGCTTTCTGATCAAGCCACCAGAGGACTGGCGCCGTGTGTTCACTGGAGCCCTGAGCCTCTGCCCAAGGGTTGAGTGTTCCCAGAAGAGATGGGACAGCAAGGCTTCTGTCACGGGAGTAAAATGGACTCAGGAGATACTCAGCGCAGAAGTGATCAAAGGCTTCTCCCAGCTGCAATGTTCTGGTAAGTGGAATACCTGGAAGAACACCTGACACTCTCTCTATATGGTCTTATTTCTGATTATGGCTCGTTCTGCAGCACCTGCTTTGTATTTTTTAAATTAGTGTCTTTAACCCAGTGTAAATGAAACCATCTACAAGAGGGTAACAGTGTCATATTAAAAATTCTGCACCCACCCAGTACAAGTTTGGTGTGTATGAACAATCTGTTTTAAACAGGTAATTAAAAAAGTGAGAAAGAGATGGTGATGGGGGTGATGCAGCGCTGAGGAGCCAGCTGGGTCCTGGGGCTGAGCCCCCAGTGAGAAACCAGGCCAGGAGGAGGGGTGGGAAAAACCAGTCCAGGAGAGCCCTTGGGAAGAGCTGTGTGCTGGAAAAAGGGAATAATGAAACCTGTCTTGGACATAAAATAATTATGAAATAGCACATTACTTTTCTTCTGTTGTCATCAAACATATAAAGACAAGCTGGCCCTGACAGGGGATTGGTGGGATACCACTAACAACAAAAGAAGCAAAAATGTTCATTTATTGATCAATTTTAGCATGAAAATTGTCATAGAAGTTATTTAGATTGAAAAGTCTTTGACACTGAGTTTATATTTGTTGTGCTTCAGAGACATATTTTAAATGGATCAGACTCGTGATGCTTTTTGTAAAGATTTGGGTCTTTGGGAAGCAGAAATTATTTTCACCATGAATGATAACCAAGTTACAGAAGCAAATCCAACCTACTTAATATTGAAAACAAGCCCAAAAAATGCACTAATTCTCTAATAGTCTTGTCCTTTGTATCTCAGTTTGAATGTTTTTCTCCTCACTTATAGCACACTATGCTACAAATGCATGGAGTTTATTAGAGGCTTCTCAATCAGTTGGTGTTTCCTGTGGGTTTTCCTGTGTTTGGAGATCCCTATCGTTATTATAAAGGTTGCACTAAGCCTGCCTTCCCACCCTTTTAGCCCGCTCTCTGTCCCCACCGGGATGGGGTCAGTGCTGAGACATCCTGGTGCTGGTGCCCTCCTCCCTGGGAAATGTAGGGCACAAATGTGGGTGTGAGCAGGAGAAGGCCCTGAGCATCCCATGGCCAGACCCTGCGAAGGTTTTTTATAGGTAGTCAGCAACCACCTGTAGGAAAAGTCTTAAGAAATAATATCTGCACAACTACAGTGACCAGTAGGTAACCAGGTGCTAATGGGAGATGGCAAAGTGCATCAGTTAGTAGTGACAAAGCTGGGCTTTGGGAGGTGCACCCTCACAGTTACAGGACACTCTTGCACTGGGCAAACGTTTCCCACTATCAGTTCATGCCTGCAATGCCAGGGTGCTTTAAAAATGACACAGCCCAGACTTACCAAAACCAAATAATCCTCTTTTAACCCTAGGAGGTGGTCATCAGAAGGACACAGTTGCTTTTCATAACACCCTTTGGAGTATTTCTAGGTAACCCATAAACATAATAAATTCTTAAATAATGACACGCCTTGTCCGAGCTCTGCTATTCAACCAAAAATCCCTTTATACCCAGTACGAAATGGCAGCCACAGAAGCAAAGTCATGAGAATGTCCATCTCCTTCCTAGTGCAAAATGAGCATACAAGGAGGTGCTGGCTCTTCCTGGCCTATTTTTATACTTTAATCATGTTACAGAGAATTCAACCCCTGTCTAATCGCTAATCTTCACTTATGTATGTGCCATATGGCTCATTGCTGAGCATCAGAGGATGAGGGCTCTGTTTATTAGGCTCTTCTTGATTACATTATTATGGGTGGAAAAAAAAGGAGTAATTAATGCATTTCATGCCAAGATGAAAGTGGAGGCAAAGTATGCCAGGCTGGGAGAGCGACTGCGCTTCCTTTGTAGGGACTTACTTCCAGGGATGTCTGAAGGGAGGTTCAATTCCTTTTCAAGTCATGGGCTGAAAACTGCTTGTCTGAGAGAGGTTTTAATTAGCAACCAGGAAAAAAAAACCTTGGTGGAATAATCAGTTTAAAGGTATTAAAAAATACCTGCTAGATGTTCCCTTAATCAATCCAATCTGGCTTTGTCAGTCTCCTGTGTGAGCAGCTTGCCCTGCTCGGATGCTGGGCTGCTCCATCAGGATGAGACACTAGAACAGGTTGCCCAGGGAAGTTGTGGCTGCCCCATCCCTGGAAGTGTTCAAGGCCAGGCTGGATGTGGCCTTGAGCAACCTGCTCTAGTGGGAGGTGTCCCTGCCCATGGCAGGGGGTTGGAACTCGATGATCTTTGAGGTCCCTTCCAACCCCAACCATTCTATGATTCTATGATGGAGCGGTGCCGGTGAGGGCCGTGTCCCCTGGCTCCCCATAGCCACCAAGTGTCTCTGGGAAGCCTGATGTTATTGCACCAGCAAGGGCTTTCCAAACCCCTTTCCCCTCCAAGCAGGGATTATTTCCTAAAAACCAGCCTTCTCACTCTCCTTGGCTTAAACTCCCGTTCTGCCTGTCAAAGCTTCCAGTGGGTGCTGAAGTTCCCAGGGGCTCGTGAGAGACAAACTAGATCAGATGGGCCAACGCATGCTCTTACCTAGGACATACTTCAGGGGTGTGTCATCAAATACCTGCCTGGCCTGCCACGAAGTGTAAGGCCATGTTCAAAGTGCTTTGGTTTGGTTTGTTAAAGCCATGTTTGAAGATGTGTGTTTACTTTGCTAATTCAGGGCCTTAAGCTGCTGCAAAAGACATAAATGAGATGCAGGAGTTGGAAGTAGACAAATTCAGGCTTGAAGGAAGCCAGGGCAGGTTTTGCTTCTGATGGGCGCTGGTGTGCTCCAGCAGAAAGTGCCTGCGTGGCACAGGGCGTTGTTGGGTGGCATCTATGGCTCGTGTTAGGCCGGGCCAAAACAGCCCCTCCTGGCCAATGGGTAGTTCTGGAAGTGGGAACTCTGGCACCGCTGGAGTCAAGGGGGCTGCAGCACCCCGTGCTTCTCAGCTGCCATCCTGAGAAAAGCTACCTGTGCGTTTGGGAGGAAAGGACTGAAGACCTGGGGAGCCATGAAGGACAAGTCTCTCCAGCTCTTTTCCTGCACTTATCGGTGGGCAAGTACAGACAGAGACAATCTGCCCTGCCCTGGCTCCCACGACAGCACGTTTAGCCAACACTGCCCACCTCGAAAAGGCCCTTTTCAGGCAGGAGCTGCCTGGCATTGCCCGGAGCCGGGCTGAGCACCATGCCGGGCTGCCTCCAGATCAGAGCAGACTCCTGCCCTGCCAGCCTGGAGCATGGGCAGAAGACCTCTGCTGTCTGCATCCACCTGCCCAAACAGGTCTTAAACTGGCCATAATCTGCGTTGGTGCTCTAATCCCATCTGACTGGTGTGATCGTTTCATGTTTTTTTGGATTTCTTGTGGGTGGAGTCTGCACACTCTCCTGAAGAACGAGGCATGTGTGAGCAGAAACTGTTTGCTTTGTTGCACTCTAACCTGGGTCCTCATCCACGGGCGAGAACATGACTCTGCCATGTGCCATGGAGACCCTACAGTCCTAGAGTTTCACTACAAATGCACTTCATCAGCACATGCAGGAATACATAGAGCTGGGAGAGCTCTTCATCACCAATGTCTTGCCTCTTTCACCTCAATCAGTTTCTCCCACAGTTGGCTGAGCACCAGATTCAGGTACAAATAGACAAGCTTTTGTGGAGTCCTACAGGCTTGGATTCCCTGTTCCACGTGTAATGCTAAGCCTCAGGAATCCTGTTTGGAAAGTGCTGCTAACACTCTGGTCCGGTGGGCTTCTGGCAGGAAAGGAAGGTGACGCCGAGTGGAACACCACCTTGAGCAGAGGAGCCAAATTTATCAGCGGTGAAACGCAGGGCAGGGCAGGGGAACTAAGCAAAACAAATGTCTGGTCTGTGAAGCTTAGAGT